ATGTGGGAAAAAACGGAAGCAAGATTCCATTCATGCCACCATCCACCTTCCCACCCAAACCAGAACCTTGCTACTAATTGTAGACTCTTGTACTTTACTCAGTTCCTCCGGGATCCAGGCACCATTCTCCATTCCCCAGTATTCTCAGCTGAGTTCTGGTGCCTGCTGTGTCTCCCACAGCTTCCTCCGGGCTGGTTCACCTCCACCCATCTTCCATACAGCTCTCAGAGGGAGCTTTCTAAGATGCACCTCTGTGTGTGTCCCCTCTGTTAAAATCCTTAATAAATACTCAATGCATTCCCCATCTGATCCAAGCCTTTCATGATCTGACCCACACTTACTGTGACAGCCTCCTCCTAGGTCCCCAGTCACAGGCACCCTGGGTTCTGGTCAGGTCATATGCCCAGCAGGTTCCTCACCAGGCTAAGTGCCTTCTCCTTTCCATGCTTCTGCACCTGCAGGGCGTGCTAGGACAGAAATTCAGCTTCAAGACTGCAAGGAGAGAAACTCACACTCAAAAAGAGAAACGCTCAACAAGCATACAGTAGTATACGGCCAATAGAAGGTAACCCTCAGTGAAAAACGCGGCCCAGTAAAATTTCTGTCCCAACGCAATTTTTCCTAAGTTGAATATGTATGCTTACTGGGATAGGGAGGAGACGGCAGAACAGTTCTAACTGTACAGCCCCTCAGTCTCCTGAATTCAGAGGCAAGAGACAGTTTTTGTCACTAGTGGAAGACCCCCAGGGAAGACTCTGAGAACCTGTGGCCAGGGAATAGGCGCATACTCTGATCTGCTACCCTGTACCAGAGAAGGACCGCACTGTTCTGAGATCCTACTAGGACCACGTGGAGGGAGGGAAGCAGGGAAGGCGGCTCTTCAAACGAAAGGATGCTTGGAGACAGAACACTGGACTTCTTTCTTGCAAGCCTTCCCTAACCTCCCCTGGCCTTCCCCGGAAGTCAAGCGCTTCCTCCTGGGTGCTTCTGGAAGTCCTCATTAATACCTCTCTTCCAGGATGAGTTACAGCACCACTGTGGTTTTTCTGATGATGTCCCTTCTCATCCATCCAATACAAGTTCCCAGTAGGCAGTGATTTTGTCTGTCTGCCCTCCATATCCACCCTCCACCCTCTACCCGCTGCTCTCCTATGTGGATGGCAGCCTGGGGTCCTGTGCCCTCTGGCTTCTGAGGGCATTTGGCCAATGCGGCTCATCATCAGTGGGAGATGAGAGCTGCTCTCGGTCTCTCTGGCAGCTTCCCTACAGGGTTCCTGTGAGCTGGTGGCTCACAGGACTAAAGGTGACAGCCTCTCTCTCAGGAAGTCCCCCCGATGTAGCTTCAGGTTCTGGAAGCAGCTCCCTTCCCTCAGCCCTGCCCGCCTTGTTCTGCTGTTCATGGCCCTGGAAGTCTGCACTATCTCTTTAGGGTTCCCTATACTCTGCCCACACTGAATAAATAGCTCCTTTATTAAACTCTCCTCCGACGACCCAATTGGGGTGTGCCCTCCACCGCCCTGGTTCCTGCCTGGACTATGACACACAGTGTCCTGTTCATCTTCATTGCCCCAGGATCCAGCTCTGTGCCTTCCACACCACAGGCACTGAATAAGCTCATGGATTATGGAATGATTAGACACAGGAGAGTATTGAGACCTCTATAGAAAATGGATCAGAGGAGTAGCCTTCAACATTTTTTTGACCAGGTCTTATAGTAAGAAACATTTCATAATGCAACGCAGTAAACACATCACAATTATATATAACTGAACAAGAAATTTCATGAAGCAATGCTTACCTTTGTATGTGTAATGCTCTGTGATCTTTTCTATTTCATTCTGCTCTGTTTTAATTTTCAAGTGAAATTCTCATTATGGTCCACTGCATTGATTTCATGGCCCACGAAACGATAGGAACCCCTAGGTTAGGAAGCATGAGACTACTGATGTTTAGCTTTCCCTCCGGGTTGGAGAATCTGTGATTCCTGAAGTAGAATTCGAAGGCGCAATGAATGAGGATGCAGTCATGTCGCAGTGACGATGCATTTAGTGGGAGTTGACTTTATTGCCTTGAAAAAGCAAAGGAGGCCAGGCAAGGGGGCTCATGCCTGTAGTGTCAGCACTTTGAGAGGCCGAGGTGGGTGGATCACCTGAGGTCAGGAGTTCAAGACCAGCCTGGCCAACATGGCAAAACCCCATCATTGCCAAAAATACAAAAAATTAGCCAAGTGTGGTGGCACGCACCTGTAGTCCCAGCTATTCAGGAGGCTGAGGCAGGAAAATCACTTGAATTTGGGAGGCGGAGGTTGCAGTGAACCAAAATTGTGCCACTGCACTCCAGACTGGGCAACAGAGCAAGACTCCATTTAAAAAAAAAGAAGCAAAGGAACTCACCATTCTATCTTCAGTTTTTCATAGAACTCTTACTCAAAGTTGACTTTGTTTTAGGTAAACCTAATTTGGGAGTGGGGAGGTGGGGAGGTTGGAGTTCTTTTATTTTAGACAGGATCTCACTTTGTCGCCCAGGCTGGAGTGCAGTGGTAAGATCTCAGCTCACTGCAACCTCCACCTCCCAGGTTCAAGCGATTCTCTTGCCTCAGTCTCCCTAGTAGCTGGGATTACATGTCTGCCACCATGCCCGGTTAATTTTTGCATTTTTAGTAAAGACCGAGTTTCACCATGTTGACCAGGCTGGTCTCGAACTCCTGGTCTCAAGTAATCCACGTGCCTCGACTTCCCAAAGTGCTGGGATTACAGGCATGAGCCACCACACCTGGCCCTGGAGTTCGTAATGCATGCCGATGTCCATGAGCAATTTTAAGCATCAGGTTCATAAGCATTAGTGTCTAGGAACCACAGACCCTGAGAGCCAGACATGCCCGTGAGGGTTCAGGGTGAGCCTGAAGTGGAGGCTAATCAGGTGAGCTTGCCTCAGGCCTCTGGAGCGTTTCCCTGTGTCCTTGCTGGCACCAGCAGCTTCTCTTTAGCAAATACATTTCTTAGTGCCCTAGTTATGGGCAGGGCTAGACCGAATGCACAACACAGGCCTGTCCACATCGCCAGGGCTCTGCAATCCACTTGCAGTTGGATGTTCTCTCAGTGCTTCAAACTCAGTCGAAGTCTGTGATCTTGCCCACCTCAAAAATCGTATGATTCTATTTTAAAAACTGAGTTACATATGTTCTCTAAAATGGAATCTCCCCTCTTAATTCACTCCCTGTCATTCTCCTGGTATCTAAACCGTAAGGCCAAGTTAAAAGGGTAGAAGATGATCATAGATATTATGTAGCTGTGATTCTAAGTCAAATTCCCAAACCCTGTCATCACCTCCCTGCAAGGTTCTTGAGAGAGAAAAATGCAAAAAAGGTAAGCCTCAGTAGGTGGACTTGTGGCCAGGTGGGGGCATTGGGCTCAAATTTCGAAGGGGAGCCCTGGCAAGCTGGACAGACACCCCCATTTCCTTGTTTCCTCATCATCCTTCAAATTCATACGAGCACCTACAATCTTTCAAGCATGGGGAGAGAACAGTGAACAAAACAGAGCCCCTGTCCTCCTGAAGCTTATATTCTAGCTGGGGAAACAGAAAAGAAATAAATAGAGATACATATACCAGCATAGAAGATGGTGGTTAGTGCTGTGCAGAAATCTGCTATGGTACCTGGTGGGCAGAATGTGCGCGTGTGTGTGTGTGTGTGCACATGCACGTATGTGCTTTATTATAGTTAGTGGTGTCAGTGAGGGCTTTTTGAGGAGTGACATTTGAAGAAAGAGCTGAGTGAATTTGAGTCATGGAAATACTGAGGGGAAAAGCATCAGGTGAAAGGAAGAGCATGGGCAAAGGCCCTTTGGCCTCATGCTGGGGGGTGGAGGCAGGCCTCCGGCCTTATCATAGTGGTCTGGGCAGCATCCTTTGTGCTTCTCCCCCTCAACCCATGCCAAACCCTGGCCACTTTGGACACATACTCAACAATTTTTAAAATTATTATTTTTAATTGTGGTGAAATACGCATCAATTTAACATCTTAGTCATGTGTAAGTGTACAATTTGGCAGCATTAAATATATTTATTATTGTGCAACCGTCATCATCACCCATTTCCAGAATGTTCTTATAATCCCAAACCGGAACTCTGTACCCATGAAACAGCAACTCCCCATTCCTTCCTCCCCTGAGCTGCTGGCAGCCACTGTTTCCTTTCTGTCTCTGTCAATGGGACCACTCCGGGTACCTCACACAAGTGGAATCACATAGTATCTGTCTTTTTGTGAGTGGCTTATTTCGTTTAAGCGTAATGTTCTCCAGGTTCATCCCTGTGGGGCATGTGTCAGAATGTCCTTCCTTTTCAATGATGAATAGTGGTCCATGGTGTGGATGGGCCTCGTTTGGTTTACCCATTCATTCTGTACGGTCAGTGGACACCCGGGTTGCTTCTGCCCCTTGGCTAGAGTGGATAATGCCGCTGTGAACATGGCTGTACAAGAATCTCTCCAAGTCCCTCTTTCAGTTCTTTTGGGGACATTCCTAGAAGCAGACAGTTTTAGCTCCCTTTTCCTTGAGCTGATCCACTGTGCTGTGCACGCTGCCCCTTGTTAGTTATGTCACTGTTAGGGGGACCGTGTTGATCGGGGTCACCTGTTTCCCTCCTCTCGACTGTAAGTTCCTGGGGAACAGGGAGTGGTGCTTGGCACTGCACCCCCAATGCCACGGATAGCGCACAGTCTGTGTCCCAGTAGGATTTATTCAGTGAGCATCTCTGGAAAGGGCTGCCCCAGGAGGAGGGTGAAGGCTGGGCTGCACAGAGCCTGCCCCTCCTTTGTGTTTTTACATTGGGCTTCTCTGATTTTGTTGGAAAGGAGACTCTGTCCCTAAAATAAAAATGGGGATAATCCGTTTTCCTGTGAGAGAAATGAAAGATTTAGTCTCTTCCATGGAGACTAAATGTCCTGCCCGCTGTCCAGGTGCAGTGAGGGGCGTGGCCGGGACCAGAATCCCTGCTTCCCTGTTCTCTAGTCAGTGCTGCTGCTGGAAAAGAGTCTTCTTTTGTTTTCCCTCTCACCTCTGGCTGCCTCTCCCTCCCCTCAAAGGTCAGAGCAGTGCCAAGGACAGAAGAGAGAGTAGACCCAGCCTAGGCCCTGCTAGGCCGGGCAGCCTGGCAGGTAGAGTCGGCGGGGGTAGAGCTTGCTTTGCTGTTCACAATCTTCAACCAAGTTCAGGGAGGTCTGAGTACTGAGGCCTTCAGAGCCGCTGCAGCCCCAGGTAGCTCAGGAGAACTGCCAAGCCCAGGAGTGCAAAGGCTGGTGTTCTTCAGGCTCTGAGGCTGTCCCTCCTGGTGGAGGTGAACTGCTTCTTACTGGTGTGGACAAGACTGTGGGTATGTGTGTGAGTGTGAATGTGAGTGTGTGGAGGTGATACAGAGAGGCCTAAAGGGTGTGTGTGTGTGTCAGGGGGAGG